GCTACTTCTCAAATAGTAAGATAAGACCAAGATAAAATACTGTTCTGAAAAATAACTGATTCATGATTTATGAGCATTCCACCAAAAGAAAGAATCAATACCAAGAAGGAAAGGGCTGAAGAGAACAATCCAATAAGTAACTGCAAGCCCATAGCACATGATCACTTTTCTGAACTTCTGCATTACTACTTTTTATATAGCGGGACTTCAGTGTGTGTTATTCGAATTGAATGAGGATGTGTTTTCTTTTTTAGTAATCTTTACCGTCAGGAAAATTTGGCCCTCCTATATCGATCAAATAATTATACATTTGGTGCCAGGTGCTCAACTCAAAGAAATAATTTTATATAGTTTTTTTTTTATTTTTGTAGCCATCTGCTGTGTTCTTGTCTCTGCACCTTCAGTGCTTGCTAACCCTTATTCATGAGCCCACATATGCATCACCATGGCCCTTATTCTCAAATTGCAGGTATATTAGAAATTTCATTTTTAAATGCAGATTCCTGAGCTTCCCCACCCCTCATATTCTAATTCTTTAGGTCTCAGATGGGACCTAGGAACTTTATATCCTAATGAGCCCCTCTGGGTGACCCAAATGGGTATAATCTGTGGAGCACATTTTAGAAACTGATCCATGGACTTGACCATGCCCTAGGCTTTGGGACTAGCCATATTTAAAGCAGAAAGATGAAGAACCAACAGCCAATCCATTGCTAATGCAATGATGGCCCCACCCTGGGACAAGATCTTGTTTCACTAGCCACCCCCTTGTCCTGTTTTACGCTTCATGCCTCAACTCCAGCTAGTCTTGCCTGGATTGTGACAGCTGGGTCGAAGATCTCCCTGGACCTCACTGGCTGCTGGATGGAGAAGTATTAATTACTAGATCCGTTATTTAATGCTCTGCTATCCAGCTGGTGTTCCGCCTCTGATCAAACTCACCTGCATGGTTTTGGATTCCTCCACTGCTATTGCTTAGACATCCTCTTAGTCCCTATGTGGGTTTGCTGGATGATCAGCCCAGCACTAAAATCCCACTCTTCCTGACATACGGCCTTCACCGAGGGTGATGACTAACCTTACCCAGAACTAGTGACACCAGGTTGGTTACCATAAAAAGATCATCTCCCTCTGGACCTATGGCAAAATGAAGCCATGCTTACTTATTTAGAAGAGAGACCGTTAGAAGTTGAGAAACAACTTCTAATAAGTTCTTTTTGATACATCCAGCCTGTTGTCAAGAATACCCCAAAACTGGGCCAGCAGATGGTGTGGAGGTTAAGGCAGCTGGATCCCACATGGCCAACAATGTGGTTCAAGTCCCAGACCTGGTGACTTGAAAAACACACCATTTAGGCCCCTTCCAAAGGGACTTTTGCCACTAAAGAGAACAGATAGGAGACCAGAACTTAAAAGAATGAGTTCGGTTAACTCCAATCACCTTCAGTAAGCTAGTTACATGTGACCAACTAGGGGCTAAGGAGATAGAGAAGTCTTAGTCCAATCAGAGAGGTCTGTACGGTATCTGCTTAATACGGGCTGAAATGAGCAATGCTGACAAAACTTCCCAAGTTATCATTCTACCCGTTAAGAGATGAACTAACATACTTGAAATCAAGGAGAAGCTTCAGATACAAACAGAACAAACCTCAAGGATTTCTTTCTCTGTCTTCCTTGGTTTATTCATTTATTCAACAATATGTTTTTTCATACTTTCAATGTGCTAGAAATAAGCAGTTCTGGCCTGTGCCCTCGTGCAGTTTAACATCTTGTAGTCGAGTGTGGGTTGTGAATTCATGTTGGATACAGATCTACCAAGAACGTTTTTTATTCTCTCATTTGCCCACATCGGAGGAAAAGAACTCTGTGAATACTTTGGTGACAGTCCCCCATGAATACTTTAGTGACAATCCCCCATGAATACTTTAGTGATAGACCCCTGTGAATACTTTAGTGATAATCCCCTAGAGAAGCCAGATCAGCAGTTCACTTTCCAGTGGGTAACCAAGGCTGAATGTTTATGCTCAAGGTGCAAAGAATAAGGATACCCACGGATTAAGCTTCCCATGGATCTTGTGAAGCAGACAAAATTGTCTTGAATATTTTAGATTTATGTAAGAATTCCTTTGTGTTCCCTCCTTGTATTTATTAAATAAGACATTGATGATTTATTGAAATATCAGGTGCTTTAAGAGGAGCTTCAAAGGAGGAGAGTCTGAGGAAAGACATAAAGGAGAAAAATAGAGAGGCAAGGCATTTATGGGACAGAGAAATGGGTTATTATCTGTTGAAGATAATGTGTATAGTATTCTCAACTGGACTGGTGAGAAACGCATACATGTTGGAATATTCACTTTGCAAGCTAAGTAACATACACGATTGAATGTATAAAAGAAATTGAAATAAAAAATATATTTTTTAAAATGTCTATGGAAAAATGGAATTAAAGCCTGAATCTATTTTGGTGTTAAAAAAAAAAATCTTGAACTAGAATCAACATGTTTTCATCATATGCATTTTCTATGAGCTTTTTAAAGACCCCTTGTATAAGCTAATAGTTTTATTAGCATAAACCAGAGTTCATTCACCTGAAGGGCTTGCTAAGATACAGATGCTCAGCTCTGTAGCCAGTTTCTGATGGTTTAGGTCTGGAATGTGGCCTGAAAATTTACATGTCTAACAAGCTCTCAGATGCTATTGATACTGGTGGGCCAGGGACCACACAATGAAAACCACTGGGTGAAGCAAATATTTAGAGCAATCTTGAAATTGTCGTTCCACATAGGAGTACAGGCAGCATTGATAGGTTTAAAATTTTAATGCCGACTGAGCTAGCTGGGCACCTAAGCAAGTCAGGCTATGAAACAGAAACATTGTATGTCTCCACTGAACATATACCGACTGTCTACACTCTACCATAGAGACTGAACAACTGGAGGACATAAAAGCATTAAAAACTGCTATGGACACTGGGGACAAAGTGGAAGGAGAGTGGGAGAGGGGAAGAGTGCAGAAAGGGAAATTTGGGAAAATATGGAGAAGTAAGACATTTGTGTTACATAGATATGGTTTGTTGCTTGTTGGTGATGTTGTGTATAGTAGTCTCATCTCGTCTGGTGTGTGGCGTATATCATGTTGGGTAAAATCTCTTTACAAACTAAATGATGTATAATGATTGGATGGATAAGTAATAATAAATAATACTAGTAAAAAATTAATTTTTAAAATGTTAATGCCTGCTGTTTTTATACTACAGAATAATACGTGTACTTCAAGGAGAGTGTTCTTTTTTTAAAGAATTATTTATTTAATTTTATTATTTATTCATCCATTTATTATTTTAATTTGACCAAAGAGAGACAGAGACAGAGAGACAGGAAGTGAGAAAGCAAGCCACCAGGCCCAGGACTTGAACCGTGGTCGGCCATGTGGGAATGTCCAACGCCTTAACCACCACGCCACCTGCTGGTCCCAAGAAGAGTGTTCTTAATAAAAAAAATAAAAATTATAAATTTAAAACCACCGTCTCAAAGATAGCCATCAATAACTTTGCCGTACTCTTATAAAATCTCTCTTAGGTACATATGTTTATGTGTGTATAAACATACATAATGTTCTCTCTCTTTAATATATTTGTAATATTCTCTGTGTCTCTAAATATTTGTAGATAAACACGCTGGAAAAAACATTGGCCTTATCTTACACATACTGTTTTGTAACTTACTATTTTGAGTTTTAGGTCATTATAGTTCTGCAACATAATTTGATACATACTTTCAGTGGATGTACTATAATTTTTAAAAACGTTCCCCTTTGCTGGACATTTCAGTTGTTATACTAGTTCTTTCTAGTTCAAACAGTAGGTTCAGCATAAATATCAAGGGGACTTTAAAAAGCTTGTGGAAAAAATATAATTAAAGTACAAGCTTATTTGGGGGCAGAAACAATTTTCAAATCCATGTATAGATTTTTCATAATAGGTATTTTTCCTGTGAAGAGTCTTTAACAAGCTCAAGAAAATGCAGATTGTTGGGGGGGAAATGCATATAATCCTAAATTTTTGCACCATAATAATTACTTTAATTCCATTTTTCCACAAACTTTTTGAAATCACCTCATATCCTGTTAAGTCTTTATGTACATCCTTAATTATTTCCTAAAGACAAATTTCCAGAAGAGAAAATGCCAAGTCCAAAATTATATAGGTTTATAAGGCTTTCAATACACCCTGCTAGAACACGCTTCACAGAAAGACTGGGTTCTTTTACAACCATAACACCATCTGGTTATTTTCTCACACTGTCATGTAACACTGGTCATATGGATTTTTGTTTGAGGTATTTTTTTTTTGGGGGGGGGAGGTGTTGTTGTACTAAGCTAATAAGGAAAAAGTGCTGTCTTCTTTCTATTTTGAACTTTTTTTTTCAGTTACCAGGGAAAGGGTTCATCAGGTGGCATAGCGATTAAAGCACTGGACTCTCACATAGCTGACCACAGTTCAAGTCAATTACCAGGAGGATTAGTAGCAGCATCGCATCAAATAATGTCATATGTCTTTCCTTTGTAGCTGTATAAATCGGAGGCTTAGACTCCCCTATCAATTCTTGATAGAGACATCCTGTTGAGACTTTACATGTTTGATATTTCATAATGTCTAGCATGCAATTATTCGTTGTCAGAAACAAACAAAACCTCAGAATAAAACAACTTGTGTTGCATATGTAAACTTTGCCAAAGTACATTTGCAGCAAAAAGGCTGTGTATAGAATTATCTGATGTGATAGGCAGTCTCATTTCTCAGCCTATGAATCATTTATTACAATTATAATTGATCTAATTTTACTTAAGAAATCAATATCTACTGTGACTAAAAACGAAAACCAACAGAGCAATCTCTTGTTGTCTACTTGTTAGTGTTTATTGAATGACCACATGACGTGAATATGAAAATGAACTTCCCTGGTGATACACTAACACTGGACTTTCTTCTTGATACACAGGGACTGTTAGGTGAAAAATATGGAAACATCCGAATCCCCGGAGAGGTTGAAGCCTCAGAGTTTGAAATGATTTTGGATGCTGCCGTAGAAGCCAAGCTGGAGACCAAGTTGCTGGAAGACTGGTACTGTCGGGACGAGAACTCTGTGCCTGCAGCTTATTACCTCAGACCCAGATCCGAAATGCTAAAAAGCAATAAAAATATGGTAAGTTACTTTCCTCTCCAAAGTATGCATCTGCCCATTACACTGTTTACCACCTAGCATAAAGATAGCTTTATGGAAAAGACACACTACATAGTTCCCCAGCCCTGGCTTGCTTTTTGTAACTAATCCACCTTATCATCAGGAAATGACAGTCAGAACCACAGTGAGCTATCATTTAGCACCAGTGAGGATGCTTTTATCAAAAAGCCCACACATAACAAGTGTGGAAGAGGTTGCAGAAAAGCGAACTCTGGTGCACCGTTGATGGGAATGTAATTGGTTCGGCCTCAACAGAAGACAGTAGAGCAGTTATGCAAAGCATATCTTTGATTGTTCAGTGTATTCCCGATGGAATATTTTCTCTTGTGTTCTGTAATGATGTACAGTGAATGAATGTAAAATAAATAAATATAAATATGTGCGTATATATATTTTAAAAAATAGAAGTGCTATATCATCTAGCAATCACACTTCTGGGTATACACACAAAGAAAGTGAAATCAGTCTCGAGTTTTGTGCAGCACCATCTTCATTGCAGCATCCTGCACAATGGCCAAGACTAAGTGTCCATCAGCAAATGAAAAGAAAAAGAAAATGTATGTGTAGACATATGCCGTGGAATATTCTTCAGCCTCAAGGAAGAGGGAATTCTGCCCTTTCAACAACATGGGTGAATCTGAAGACAATGTGCAAGTGAAATAAACCAGATACAGAGAGGCCAGCACTGTTTGACCTTGCCCGTATGCTGAAGCTAAGGAAGTCAAGCTCAGGGTAACAGATACTTTGGAAGGCTGTTTACCAGAGCTGGAGTACTGGAGAAAGGGAAAGAAAAGAGATGTTGGTTCAAAGACTACAAAGTTTCAGTTGTAAGATAATATGCAGCATGGTGGCTGTAGTTAACAATACTGTATTGTATACTTGAAATTTGCTGAAAAAGTTGATTGCAAGTGTTCTCACAACAACGAAATGCTGTCAAATGATAGATTTTTTAGCTTCATTGTGATCATTTCACAATGATACATACATTTATTAACACATTACTTTGTGCAACTTACAAAGTTCATTTAACTTTTAATTCTAGTGTTTAAGAAAAAAAAAGAACACTGAATCCAAGACAAAGAAACTTTTCAACTTTTGACTCTCCTTTCCTTTTATCACCTCTGAGTTTTCTTCAGGGGTCATTGTCTCTTCCTGAAGTATATCTTTTGGAAGTTCCTCTAAGGGAGGTCGACACATGACAAACTTCTTCAGTGTTTGTTAATCCAAAAATAGTCTCATTTTTTCCCCTTTTTCTAAAATGTGTCTATTTACTCTGAACGGCAAATGTCATCATCCTTATCTGAAGAGACATCAGTTTGGGGGGAGAAATGGAATTAAAGTATGGTTTATTTGGGGGTAAAAAAATTAAAATCCATGTATAGTTTTCCTAACACCTATTTTTCCACGATTTTTTTAAAGGCCCCTTTGTGTCTGTGAATTCATATATCCAGTCAGTTCTGGAAGATTTTCAGTCATCATATTATTAAATCATGCCTCTCCTTGATTCCCTCTGTTCTTTCCTTTTTGCTCTTTAATTACAGCTGCATTATATTATTTCAGTATTCCCTTCTTATCTCCTAATTCGCCTTCAGATTATTATCTCTCTATGCTTTTTAGATTACTTCTCATACGTATTCCAGTTCACCAATTATTTTTTCTTCAGCTATGTTCGCTCTGTCCATACAGTGAGTTTTCAGTTTCAACAGTTACTTTCTTTACTCTGGGAAAGTTTCCCCATTATGGTCTTTTGCAGAGAGAGAGGTGGTCCTTTTTGAAATATGCCTACCCATTTTTATCGCATTTTTATTTTTAATATTTTCCTTTAAACATTTTAAACAGTTCATTTATATTTTTGTATTTTAAGTAGAATCATAGAGTGAAATTGATTCATGCGTGAGTATGATGGATGAAATATTATCATCATCTCTTCTTCAACTTCGTTCCTACGTGTCTTTACTGTGTTCCTTAAACTAAATGCAGGAGAAAGAAGAGATGCGTGACTCTTTTCATTACATAGAATATTTTTTGAGGGGAGGGAGAGATTTTTGCTATATGGCGCATGTCCTCACCAGAGAAACAGAGACAGAAAGCGAGAAATCACCCCCCCCCCAGGGAGATGACCACACCACAGTCCCTTCTCCTCCATTCTCCTCTTAGAATTTTGGGCACACACACACACATGCCCAGTGTGAGTTTAAGCCACCAGTTCCGAGAGTTGAACCGCAGTTGACTACATGGGAGCCCAGTGACATAACCATTTTGCCATCTACTCGTCCATTATATAACATTTTTAGAGAGATCAAAAAGAAGGCCTAGGCACCCACCCGTCAACTAAAGAGTCAACATCCAGATGACTCAAAGAGGAGAGTCATGGGTCAGCCACAGCTTTTCATTTCAAGATCTTGTATTTTTGTCATTCAATGTAAAACATGTTCTCTGTGCATTCTGAAATCATGTCAGAATCCCTGATTTTTCTTTTTCTTCCTCACATGCATTAGTCAAAGTAATTAACTATAAGAAAATTGCTTCTCTGAATAGGAATATTAGGATAAACCCAAAGCATTCCCCAGTTAAATTTGCTAGGAATAAATCTAGATAGTGAAAAACATAATACCTCAACAAATAAAGTCTGTACAGTGCTTTGGGGACACTTGCTTATATGTTAGTATTTAGATGGCTTTAGTAGTCCCATCTTCATTTATTTCTATGATCATTGAGGGAAATGTAAATTAATCCCAAAACTCCAAATGATATTCCTGTATAAATTGTTGTTGAATGACTATATGGATAACATTATCTTCAAAGCTATATAAATGTTGCTTTCTTGATAGGCAATCCTCTCATTTTATTTCCTCAGGGATCATCAAAACAAATGAAACGGAAACAACTATAGAAAATTAAATAGTAATATATGACTATTCATGTTTAATTTTCTTTTCCCATTGGAGGATATTGAAGAGATTATTTTGTTACATGTTGATATTTGTATCAAAACTCAAAAAGAGACCAAGACACTGTGTCCTACAGGCTGGGACCACATGGGATACCCAGATTTGATTCCCTGGCCAGCAGGTCTGTGCCTGTAATCTTAGTGATTCAGAAGACTGTGGCAGGAGGATCACTACTTCAAGGCTGGACAATGCAACACAGCGAGATCCTATCTAAAAAACAGCCTGGTGGTAGCAGGTGGTGTGGTGGTTAAGACATGGGACTCCCACATGGCTACCAGGGTTTGAGTCCCAGATCTGGCAGATTGCTTTCTCACTTTCTCTCTCTCGCTGTCCTCTCTCAGTCTGTCTTTCTCAGGTGAGCATGCTGGCCCTGTTACAAAGTTTGTAAAAAAAATAATAATGATGATGATAATAAATAAAATAAATAAGTTTTTTAAAAAGAAAGAAGGGACCAGCAGATAGCATAATGACTACGTTGCTGGACTCCCATATATATAGTCAACCACAGTTTGAGTCCCGGACCCAGTGGCTTAAACTCACGCCAGGCACACATGCGTGAATGCCCAAGATCCTGAGAGAATGCAGGAGAAGGGATTGTGGTGTGGCCATCCCCTAGGGGGTGATTTCTCACTTTCTATCTCTTTGTCTGTCTCTGTCTTTCTGGTGAGTGCACATGCCCTACAGCAAAAACCTCTCCAAAAAAAAGAAAGAAAGAAAGAAAACATACCTGGGGTCCCAACTGGAAAATTCAGGCAGGAGTACAATAAGAAAGATCAACAAACATACCAGTTTGGGTTTGTTTACCCTTCTGTAAGTTCCCATGTAACATAGAGATCATTTCTAACTTCCAGAGTTATTGGGGGGATTAACTTCCATACTCTTGGTAAAACACCCATCAAAGTACTGGCACACTGCCAAAGTTCAAGTGCTAATAATTCTCTGTTAGATGCTGGGTTTTCTCAATGATTTTAAGACTAATTTCTTACTTTTATACTTCCATAGATGCCGCCTTCTGACAGTGCTGAAAGTGAGAAGACCTGGCAAGAGGTATCAGATGAGATCAAAAAGATATTTAAAGCTGCTGTAAAACTGTTGCAGGAAAAGGGTAGAATGAAACATGGCCAAGCTAAGAGGTACCTGTTCTCAGGTAATTTTCACACATTCTCAATAGATAAATAGTAAATGCACACACCCCCCCCTTCCCTTTATGGTTCTGCAAGTTGAATCCTACCCACTGCCTGGCAAAATTTAATTTTTCACAACGTTTCCATGTTTTGAAGAGGCAAATGTTCTTTTGTGTTAACTCATCAGAAAGTCTTTTACTCAGCTCGCGGATTTCTCCGGAAGACTAGATTTTGAAAGAAGTTAAGAGGTGGCTGGAGAGAATAAGACCAGATTCTGCCACTGCTCCTCAGTCAAAGCTTTTCATTCACTCACTCACTCATTCCCAGCAAACATTTATTGACCGTTGGCCCTACTGTGTGTCAGGCCCCAGAAGGGACAACCCCACCACAATCCCTTCCCCTCCATTCTCCTCTCAGGATTTTGGGCATGCATGCACACATGTGTGCCTGGCATGATTTTCAAGTTAGTGTCCAGGACTTAAACTGCAGTTGGCCATGTGGGAATCCAGCTGCTAGCCCCAACAGGTTAAACTTTAAGATGGGAAGAAAAATGCAGACACAGAAAATGAGTACAATATTCTAATGGGGAGGGGGAGTGAGGTTATAATATTTATTGACAAATGAATATCAGAAATTATAAATAAAAGTTCCCTCAAATCATAATACACTTCGGTTCTAAAAAGTACATTGGTTTTGTGCCAGCAGGTGGGTAGAAATTAAGACAGCTGGATCCCAGGTGACTAACGGAGCAGTCTGAGTCCCAGATCCGGTGACTTGAAAGTCATGCTGGGTACATGTGCATGTATTCCTAAAATCCTGAGAGGAGAAGGGAGGAAAAGGGATTGATGTGTAGCCATCCCCCTTGGGAATGATTTCTTACTTTCCCCCCCCCCTCCCTGCTCTGTCTGGTAAGCTCACACATCCTATAGCAAACTACAATAAATAAATCAATAAAAATAAAAACACATTATTCGTCATCTGGGTGACACAGGAGGCCATCAGAGGGTGTGTGACAAGGGATTGGTAGGAAGTCATGTAGCATGAAAGGAAAAAGTTCCCCAGCCCCTGAGCAGTCTTGCTTCCTAGCCTTTCCCATCTGTGGGAAAAAGGTTGATTATTAGAAGTTACACAGGACACTGGGCATGAGGGAATATGTGACTATGTCAATCATAATTTCCAAGGAGCAAACACTACTGGGTAAAAATGAGCAGATACTCATGTAGCATTTATTTTGGAAGTTGATAGTAAAGTATTACTGAAAACACAATAGCAGCATTTCAGATTGGGTTTTGGAATGGCTTTGAAGCTTTTTGAAAACCTAAAGGCACTGGATACACTCTTACTGGATATGTGTATTTTAAGGGCAGAGAAGTGATCAATCATTTGGACAAATTCCAGAAGGATGCTCTACCAAAAAAAGCAATAAATAAATAGATCTTAGCCTAAATCTCCCTGAAAGTATTAAATTTCATAGGAATAAGTGCTCTCTTTAGAATATTCAGATTAAAATTTATCTTCGTTCCCCATGTGACCTCTTATATAAAGTTGCTAATCCCATTCATATGGACTCCACCCTCATGACCTAATCACCTCCCACATGGCCTGCCTCCTCACACCATCATCTTGGGGATTAGGTTTCAACATAAGAATTTGAGGGGGCCCAAGCATTTAGTCTATAGCACTCCATAATGGTTGTTCCATCCAGTTTCGCTTTCTTTCACCATTGCATCTTAAGCAACAAGGAGCATGTCCGACACACAGTAGGTGCTTCATAAAGAGGAGGGAAAGGAGAAAGGGAGATTTTCAAAATAGTCTTTGAAAATTTTTTTTAATTTTTTTATACATTCAATCACATTATTTAGCTTACAAAATGAACATTTCACTATGTGAACATTTCTCCCCAGTCCAGTTCAAAATATCTTCAACCAATAACACCACACATCCTCATCCGTCAATGCTCTTCCTCCCTATCCCTCCTCCAAATGTCCTTCCTTCAAGAATTCTCCTGGCGGGGAACCAGCACTTAGCGTAATGGCTATGTCGCTGGACTCCCACGTAGTCGACCGCGGTTCGTGTCCCGGACCCGGTGGCTTAAAACTCACGCCGGGCGCCTGTGCGTGCGTGCCCAAGATCCCGAGAGGAGAATGGAGGAGAAGGGATTGCGGCGTGACCATCCCCCCTGGGGGGTGATTTCTCACTTTCTGTCTCTATGTCTCTCTCTGTCTGTCTGGCGAGCGCATGCGCCCTACAGTGAAAATCTCTCCAAAAAAAAAAAAAGAATTCTCCTGGCAAATTTTCAAAGACTACTTGCCTTAAAATTCCATTCTTCTGGGAACCAGCAGTTAGCATAATGGCTATGTCACCGGACTCCACCATAGTCAACCGTGGTTCGCGTCCTGGACCCGGTGGCTTAAAACTCACACCGGGCGCGTGTGCGTGCGTGCCCAAGATCCCGAGAGGAGAATGGAGGAGAAGGGATTGCGGCGTGACCATCCCCCCTGGGGGGTGATTTCTCACTTTCTGTCTCTATGTCTCTCTCTGTCTGTCTGGCGAGCGCATGCGCCCTATAGTGAAAAAACCTCTCAAAAAAAAAAAATCATTTCTTCTCATTTAACTATGTATTTTTATTTTCTTTTTAATTTTTTCCCTAAACAATGATGTCTACTAATCTAATTTGTTTGTTTGTTTGTTTGTTTGTTTGTTTAGAGAGATTTTTGCTATAGGGTGCATGTGCTTGCCTGACAGAAAGGGAGAGACAGAAAGCAAGCAATCACCCCCCAGGAGGGGTGCCCATGCTGCAATCCCTTTTCTTCCATTCTCCTCTTGGGATTTTGGATACACACACACATACACACACACACACACACACACACACACACACACACCAGGCATGAGTTTTAAGCCACTGGGTCTGAGTCTTGAACCATGGTTGATTCTTTGGGAGTCCAATGGTATAACCATTATGTCATCTGCTGGTCCCCTGATCTAGTTTTAAAAGTTCTTATGGGACCTCAAATTATTTTAATACATATTGGTTATGTATAAATATCTGTGTTATAAGCCACAATACGGTTTATTTGAGAAGAAATAGAGTTACATACTAAGCCATTTTTCTCATTATTCTGATGGATATAAGGGAATTCAATGATGACATGAATAATCCAGACTGATCAGTATTCAGAACATAGTTATATTTTGCCTTAAAATGTGCTTTTGTATTTATGTTTGAATGTGTCTGTTTGCAATACAAGAGAAGGACTTCACAAGAAGTTCATGAAATGCGTATTATGAAAAAATTGATGCCTGAATTTAAAAAATAAAAAACTTTGCACCAAATTGAACTCATGCTTACTTCTAGTTTTCCATGATTTTTGTTTAAATCCCTTTGTATACTTCGAACAGAATGTTGAAGCCACAGTATGAGACAAGCTGACAAGAAACAAGCTATGGTATTCAGCCCCTTGCTCTTCCTTTCCTGGCCCAAACTGATCAATTTCTTACTTGTAGAAAGGCTGAGGTTTGAGACAGACACCAAATAGCAGCTAGGAAGTATCAGCTGTAGGGGCTAGTAGATGGTGTAGTGGTTACATCACTGGACTCTCACATGGCAAACTGCGGTTCAAGTCCTGGACCCAGTGACTTGAAAATCATGCCAGGTGCATTGTATGTGTACCCAAGTTCTCAAAAGGAGAATAGAGGAGTAGGGATTCTGACATGGCCATCATACCTGGAGGGGGTTGATTTCTCACTTTCCCTTTCACTGTCTCTCTCTCTCTCTCTCTGTCTTTCTCTCTCTCTGGCAAGTGCATGCCCTAAAAAATAAAAGTATCAATTGTCAATATGGAATGCTTTTCTTATTATGCTTATGCCCAACCTCTCTCTCTCTGCTTGGAAAGGAAATTAAATAATTTTAGTTTAAACCCATTCTTCTGGGTTCCAGTTCCTTAGAGAACACACAAATCAAAAACTAAGCAATTATTCTGAAGATTATCCTGCTACAAACCATAAACAAGATAATCAACTTAGCAACTGAGGGTTGGGTGTTGGGGAGGGGGAGGTGGAAAGTTGCTCCTTAGTGCCTAGCAATGAACTCCTCCTCTTATTTTCTTTCAGCTATAGAAGATGAGTTCGACTTTGCTCTAGGAAAGCAAACACCAGCATTTCTAAAGAAGTGTGTTTGCTACATTAGGAAAATTGCTAACATTGAGCGTTTTGTGAAGATCCCAGAGATGGGAAAATATATGGATATAACTGGAACAGAACCACGGATTATTCGAGACCCAGAGGCTCAAGAGAAGCTGATAAAACTCAGGGATGAGTTTATTCCTACAATTGTTGCGTCATCCAACCTGAGAGTGTACACATCTGTTACTCACTGTGACATGAAACTAGGCTATTCCCAAGAGATAGAGAACCATTACATAGAAGGGCTTGGTAAGCAATTTTATGAGGACATGATTGATATAATTCAGGCAACCGTGCAACAGAATTTTGACACGGAAACTGATACACTTTATGATGAAATCCTTCAGCATTCATCATTATGCAAGACCTATGCTTCCTTCTATGAGTATAAGTGTGAATCTCTAAACATTGTGCACAGATACATCCTACCAAGCAAAACTGGGCACATCAACCCTCTCATTGTATATGGTGGACCATGCACTGGGAAGACCCTTCTGTTGGCTGAAGTAGCAAAGAAGGTAAAAGTCTATCCTCTCCTGTGTATATTTGTATTTGTGTTTGAATGTGTCTGTCTGAAACACAATAGAAGTTTTCAAGAAATTCATGGAAATGCACATTATGAAAAAAATGATGTCTGAATTTAAAAAAAAAAAAAAAGAAAACTTTGCACCAAAATAAACTCATACTTTAATTCTATTTTTTCATGATTTTTTTTATAGTCCCTTCATCTACTGGAAATAGAATATTGAAGCCATGTTATAAGAGAGGCTGACAAGAAATGAGCAAACTAGCTATGTTATTCCACCCTTTGCTCTTCCTTTGCTGACCGAAACTGATCAATTGATTACTTGTAGAAAGCTAAGTTCCATCTTTGAGACGGAAGCTACTTTAGAGGAAAGATAATTGATCATTTATTTCCACTTTCTGTGTTCACTACTGAAATTATAATTAACCTTTTTTGGAATGCATACTTCAGTGTTTTCTTTTAGCTGGTCTAAAAATCTGGAGATTAGGATGATGCACTTCATAATGTGAAAACTAACACTTCTTTTTCTCAGTGGTCGGTGAATTCTGAAGATTACTAAAAGACTTTACTCCTTGAAAGTACTCTTTAGAATGCCTGATTCTTTGATCGCATCCCTTCTTCGTCTGTCTTTTCCAAACAGAAAAATACTAAACCTAGTAGACCCTTCTTTAACCCCACAACTTTAAAAAGTAAAAATAACAGAGCACTTAGAATGAAAGCCAGAAATGACTTCAACTCCAGCTTTGTCTCTCGGTGACCATTTAACTCCAAGCAAGTTATTCATCCAGCCTGGACCTTGAGTCTTCTGCTATTACATGGCACTGTACTCCCGGCTGTCCTTGGAGAGACCCTGTGAGGACTAACAGCACGTTTATATAGTGAGCCAATCATTTGCTATCAAGCACAACATGCAAAACTCTTTTAACTGGCATTATGTAGATTTTTATGACAGTGATAAATAATAATCATAATGTTAACCCTATAACACCGCAAAAAATGTCTCAGAACCATTAAAGAGTATATTCAGTATAATTTTAGTATTGCATATTTTTATTACATTCTAATTCATTAGGAATTTGGTCAGTAGTATATGGCATTAGGTGCTCTCTATTAATGAAAATATTTAACTTAAGTGTAATGTATAAATCATTACTTAATGTTTTTTAGTTGTTGGTTTTTGTTTTTTTGGTTTTGGGGATTTTGTTCTGTTTTGTTATTCCATAGAGCACATGTGTCCACAGGAGAGAAACAGAGAGACAGAGAGAGGAAAGTGAGAAACCACTAATCTCTCTCCAGGGAGAATGGCCACACTACAATCCCCTTTCTTCCATTTGTTTCTTGGAATTTAGGGCACACACGGACATGCGCCTGGTGTATTTTCAGGCTACCAAGCCTGGGAGTGGAACCATGGTCTACCATGTGGAGTCCAGTGTCTTAACCACCATACCACCTGCTAGCCTCCACTTACTCTGTTTATTAGACACTTACTAAACACCTACTATGTGCCGACAATTATGGCAGGAAGTGGAATTTAAAAATTGACTGTACTAGATTTACAATTTATCAAATGCTTTGTAACTTTTAGAATATAAGCTAAATGTTGCTTTATGCGTGAAAAATACTATTATAAGGCCAGCAACTGGTGTGGTGGTGAAGGCACTGGATTTCCACATGGCAAATCACAAGTTCAAGTGCTGAACCTGGCAGCTTGAAAATCACAACAAATAAATGGATAAATACATTTTTAAAACATGAAAGAAAGAAAAATGCTATATCACTATGTGCTGCCTTTACAAATGGTAATTTTGAGCTCTCCTGTAGATTTTAGGGCATGAGCTTACTGACAGCTCTTGGCATGCTTAGGAGGTGTTTCCATTTCTTAGTTCTAAGCTACTTTTATTTGATAGGGGTTACGAGAAATCTGAGCTCTGAAAAGAAGAAATGCTATCATAAGGAGTATGTAAATGTGTGATACTACTTTAAGTTCTTTTTTTTTCTGTTTCAGGCTTATGGCTGGCTACATGAAGACACAGGACCAGAGTCTGACCCAGTAGTAGTTGTGAGATTTCTAGGAACAACGAACATGAGTACCGACCTTCGGACTCTCCTTCTAAGTGTCTGTGAACAACTGGCTATTAACTACCGGTGTTTGGTTCAAAGCTACCCTAAGAAGATCCATGACCTCCGTGACTTATTTATAAACCTTTTGAATGAGTCTTCATTACAGAGACCTCTAGTAATAATATTTGATGCCCTCGAGCAGCTCTCAGAAAATGATGATGCCAGGAAGCTTTGGTGGCTCCCTGCTCACCTTCCCCGCTTTGTACGGATAGTTCTCTCTACACTGCCCAACAAATATGGAATCCTGCAGAAACTAAGGTGCCTTATCCATGAAGAAGATAACTACATCGAGCTGATTCCCCGGGACAGGAAGATGTGCAGCCAAGTCCTCAAACACCAGCTGCTGCGAGTCAAAAGGAAGGTCACCTCGGGCCAGCAGATTTATGTCAACAATGCGTTCTCCAAGTGTACGCTGCCAATGTTTGTGAACCTGACCTTCAGGGAGGTGAAGCATTGGAGATCTCACAAAGACGTTGATGAGTCCTCCCTTTGTGTCACTGTTCATGAAAGCATAGAGCAGTTATTTTGGTCCTTGGAGAAGAGGTGTGGTCAGAAACTGGTCTCCAGAGCTCTTGGTTACATCACCATGGCCAAAATGGGTCTCAGTGAAATGGAACTGGAGGATGTGTTAGCCTTAGACAACAATGTCATGAATGAGCTCCATGAGAACACCAGGCCCAGCAATCCCCTGAGAGTACCTTATGTATACATTGCAAGACTCAAGGAGGGGCTCAGCGGATACTTAATAGAAAGGCATGTGAAGAATGTCACCCTCCTGGTCTGGGCCAACAGACACCTGCATCTCATAGCTCAGAAGCTGTATCTGCAGGATGAAAGTGACCTGCGTAAAATGCACACCATCCTGGCAGATTATTTTCTGGGGGTCTGGTCAGGGGGCAGGAGGAAAGCGTTCTGTCTTGAGGACCCTTACTTGAATGGCTGCCTTGATTTGGAGAGCAGAGGCCTACTCGAGGAAGAAAAACACTTCATGGAACAGGCTTCCTTTGACAGGCAGGCCCCCGACCAGCCCTGGGTTTTCCAGTGCAATCCGCTGGAGCCTGACATCTTCTTTGTCAATCATCGGAAAATGTCTGAGCTTTTGTACCACCTGACAAGGTGTGGGAAAACAGATGACCTGCTTTATGGTATCATCATGAACTTCAGCTGGCTGTACACCATGATCAAAATTGGCCAGTTTGACCAAGTGCTTTCAGACATTGAGCTGGCTTATAATTACTCCCAAGAGAAGGAACTGAAGTTCCTGGCTAGCACCCTCCGTAGCATCAAAACCAAGGTCATTGCATTTCCTGGCTCCCTTTCTGCAGAGCTTCAGCAGAGACTTCTGCCTGTCATAAGCTCCCTGCCCAAACTTAGACACCTTCTTTTAGAATGTGACAAAGACGGGCCCAAATACTGCTCCATCGTGCCATTGCATTCATCCATGGATGTGACATATAGCCCTGAACGTCTTCCCTTGTCATCCAGTCACCTACATGTCACAGAGATCCTGCCTACCTGTAACCCCAGCACTGTCCTCACAGCTTTAGAAAATGGTTCCATCAGCACATGGGATGTGGAAACACGCCAGTTACTCAGGCAGATCACTACAGCTCAGTCCGTCATCCTGGGCATGAAACTGACCAGTGACGAAAAGTACCTTGTAGTGGCTACAACGAATAACACCTTGTTGGTTTATGACAATGTCAATTCTTGTCTCTTATCTGAAGTGGAAATCAAAGGGACCAAGCATGGAAGTGGCTCTACCTACATCAATGGATTTACATTGTCTGTCAACCATGCCCTTGCATGGCTTGAAGCCAGCAAAGATGTCACTGTCATTGACCTGCTCTATGGATGGCCCCTTTACCAGTTCCACTGCTGGTATGAAGTGACGTGTGTCCAGTGCTCTTTGGATGGTGCATATGCTTTCTGTGGACAGTACCTGAACACCACCACCATATTTCATTTAGGGAGTGGAGAAAAGTTATGTACAGTGACATCTGAGTTTTCAGGTGGCTTTGTAAAGTTTCTTCTTATCTTGGACACGGCTCAAGAGATGGTCATGGTAGATAGTGAAGGAAGTCTTTCTGTTTGGAATACTGAGGACGTCTCCAATCCCCAGCTAACTGATGACTTTGACTGCCGAAGAGAAGACAGTGAGGTGGTCAGCATCGAACTTTCAGAGGACCAAAGTGCAGTTCTGATCTGCAAAGCCCTCAGCATTGAGCTCCTGGATACCAGCATGTGGAAAGTGGCTGAAAAGTTCAGAGCTAAGCACAATGAACGCTTTATATCTGCCGTGTTGTCCAAAAATGGAGATTGCATCATTGCAACCATGGAAAATACCTCAGCCGTGTTTTTTTGGCGGCGGGACACAGGACAGTGTATGGCAAGTCTACAGGAAATCTCAGGTACCATAGTTAAATTGGTGAAATCTAGTCACCATAACATGCTACTCTCATTATCAACCAGTGGTGTTCTTTCCATTTGGGACATAGATATAATCACAGCTATGTCCAACATAGATAAGACTGGAAAACCCATCCAAAGTCTGGTGTTACCTGCTAGAGGAGAAATCATTTACTCCCTCGATGGCTCTGATTGTGTTCACAAGTGGAACTTCAGCAGTGGGTTCATCGAAGCGGTATTTAAGCATGAAGGAATAGTTGAACACTGTGTGTTGACATCTGCTGGAGACATAATGGTGACATCGGATGACAAGAGCAGCCAGTATGTCTGGCACACCAACAGTGGTGAAAACCTCTTCCGAATTAATGGACAGAGAATATCTCAGCTGCTGATTACACACAATGATCAGTTTGTGGTCTCCCTCTGTGAGGAAAATGCCTCCAGGGTGTGGAGACTGGCCACAGGCCACCGGGTTTGCAACATTCTGACCACTTTGCAAAATGCCTTCATTACTTCTGCAAATACCTTCGTGGTGGGAATGACTAAGAGCAAAGTGTTGGCCGTCAGTCTCTGGACAGGAAGTATCACCAAGAAATTTTGCTGTGAAGACGGAACCAGCATTGTGAATTTCAAATTGATCCCCGACTGCCCTGACATCATAGTATTTATCACATCAGCTGAGACCGTGAACATCTGGAGTCTGACAGATGAAGTGATCTGTCGACGCGTGCAACTTCCAAACAACTTCTTGAAAAATCTGGAGGATTTTGAAATTTCTCCCAATGGCAAGCTAGGCATTATATCCAGGGGAGATGAAAATATCAATGTGCTGGATTTACACAGTGGTAAACTACGGGTGGTTCATGCCTCTGGGGTCATCTGGCGGCAGAAATTGTCTCGAGATGGCCGCTACCTGGTATACATTTGTTTCCAAAATGGGGAGGAGGAGGATGAAAATGGTGCAATATCTAGTTTAATTGTAATGAGACTGGCTGATGGCAAAAACATCGGTGCTTGTTCCCTTTACAAAACGCCAACTTTCCTTGCACTCTCTCAGAGACATCTGAACATCATTGTGGGCTTTGACGATGGGAGCATCGGGATATACACAGTAGTGGACCGTGTAGACGCTGCACTAAAAATTAAAATAGCCACTTCCAATAGTAGGCAAATTTTTAACAATGCAACACAGACAGCTAGGCCAAAGTGTAACAGTTATTGTTTTAAGGTGTCTGTGGATTGCTTGTGGAGAGAATCTACAGAGGTCTTTGCAAGAGACAGCCCCATCACAGTGAGTGACTCCTCTGAGCCCAATGAAGCAACACCGTCCAAGAAACACAACTCTTGTTATGACCGGGTGTGCTCTGCCCTAGAATCCAGGGGCCACAGCTTTGCTCCTGATAACTGATATTCTGCTTAACAGAAACACACGATCCATGTACAAAAGAAAAACAAAATGTGTCTTTTGTATCTCAAATGATAAACTACCCATTCTCTGACAAACAGGTAAGACGCTGGAATTCCAGTTAACACCCTCATGAGATGTACAGAAACCCATGAGATTGGTTTTGGGTGCAGTATTCTTGTCAAATTGTAATCAACAATGAAGGAATGACAGAGAATTTCTATAAGTAATATGTAAATGGCAACTTCAACTGAAAGATAGATGGTAAAAGTTTTCAAATGACCTGTGGAGTGAAAAAGCAACATGATTCATCCCATGGGTTCATATGAGAAAGGATAGAGTTATAGACAGAACTTTAGACTGGATCTCATTTCTACAATCAATTGAAATCACGAAGAAAAAGAGCTGTTTGACTTTGAGTGATTGTGTGATACGTAAACACAGCCTTAATCTCTCTACATTTTACAATCCTGACAACTGTGTAATCCCAGTCTGCAAATGAAAGGTCTAAAGGTGCAAAATAATGTAACAAAAATGCCCAAATTCCCAGTTTCCCAAGAGACACGATCTAAAATGTGAGACCATGAACTGAACTGGGACAAAAATTTATACCACTGTCATAGGGCTACTGAACATGAAGAGTTAATCTTCATTAAAATATAGTTGCAACAATTGCATGCAAGGGTTTCTGTATAACAGAACATATGAGTTTTAAACCACTTGTTTCTTGGGTTGAAAAATAACACATTTAATAAGAAACCACAGTCTTTTTACATCTTTTTGAGATGCATATTTGTGCTGGGTATAAAAAGAATGACAGGGCATTACAAATTTGGTTAAAACACTTGTTTATTTCTATCATTATACAAGTCTATTCAGTCAGTTGTATGGAAGCATAAGTTATTTCCCAAATCCCTGCAGTAAATCTTAATAGAAAGTAAGCTTTCTCAACATGCCATCTCTGAAATACTGGTGACATTTGCCTTACTCTCATTTCTCCTCTTTCCTGTGTAAAAACGCAGATAGATGACCAAATACTCTGGGACAAACTGAATATGCCTGTCTTTGTGCTGAAAATATTCCATAAATCTTTAGGATGTCCAAAGGTTCTTTATTGTCCCTGTTTGTAATCACTTTCTTACTCCTACACACACACTCTGTGTATGCTTCTTTATCTGTCATACTTCCTGAATGAGGACTCTTTGAGCCTTTTGTAGTCTTACCCATTTCGAAGTAAAAGCTGTAAAATGGTATTAAGTATTTTTAAAAAACGAATTCAGTATTTACGAGAAAATACTATGTCTCAAAAGGTGAAAGTGATTTTCTTCCTTCATATCCTTCACATGGCATGACCTTGGATAACTTTTCAAAGAGTGTCCATAGTGGTGGTCTGGTGTGGTTTTCACTGAGAGTGACAGTAGTGACTGTAGAAGGCAAAATATTGAACAAATAATGTATTTGTTTTTGGTCCAGCTCTGCCATGAACTTATGTATGCCTGGACAGATATTCAAACTTGTCAGTGTTTCGTTCTTGTAAAATACAAAATAAAGGTAGTGATAGCTTCTGCTATACCCTCATAGGGATGTTGGGGAGTAATGTGAGGGAAAAAATATATAGCAACATCTTAATTGTTGATGCTAATGGAAAAAACAAAATGATGTAACCCATAGAGACGCCCCAAGTCAATTGTATTTCACTTTTGAAAGCAGCTTGACACATAAGCAATCAAAGATGTGATTCAGGTATAAGCACCTCACTCCACGGTGAAAGACTTTTTTCAGTGTGTTCCTCTTGGTTTTGCTACTGGCCAGGGCAGTGGTAGCCCAGAGAGTGTTCAGGCCCATGTGGAAATCACCTGAAGTTGATTGCTTTTTTAGCTCTTCAAGTAACACACTCATTCCTGTCATCATCTGTTGGATCGCTACGCCACGCATTTTTAAGAAGTCAATACCTAGATGGATTACATGTAGTGTGTGAATGTTCTATGTAAAAGCCAATAGAGTACAAGTGACTTGAATGATTTTTCCTAACTTGTTTGCAACTGATAGCTCTTATTGAATGTTTTTATGTAAACTTTGTATTGTTGGGAAGAATTACCCAATCAGAGATTTATATTTTCATAAATGTTACATTCAGTTAAATTTTGTTACAGAGTTGTTACACTAGAAATTGTTTCAGTCTTCAAACAATATACAGTCTTGTGTATGTATTGTTTGTATGAATAAAAGATAAATCACTTAGATTTCTGCAGTGTTTGTTCCCACCCCCTTTAGTCTTTTGCGGGTATAGTTAGAGACCTTCAGTAATAACACACAGCTAAACCAGGTATGGGCTGTGATCACACATTGCTAATAAAAGTGAATGCTGGGAGGCCAGCAGGTGACTGGAGGTTGGGGAGGCAGAATCCCACATGGCCAACTGTGTTGTTCAAGTCCCAGCCCTGGAAGTAGGAAAAATACACTGGGTACTTGTATATATGTGTCCAAAATTCTGAGAGGATGATGGAGGAGAAGGGATTGTAGTGTGACCATTTATCTGGGGAGGGGGGAGGATTGAGGTGTAAGCTCGCACTTTCCTTCTCTATCTATCTTTCTGTCTCTCTCTGACGAGTGCACGCACCCTATAGCAAAAAAAAAAAAAAAAAGCCAACAACAAAATAAACCTAAAAAAATCAAAATAAAAATATGCTGTTGAGTACTGCAGAGAAGCACATAACTAGACCTGGGAATCAAATAGGATGGCCAAGAGGAGAAGACAGAGAGCTGAGGCTTAAAGAATAAACAGAATAGGGGACCAGCTGGTGGCGTGGTGGCTAAGGTGTTGGACACTCCCACACGGCTGGCCACGGTTCAAGTCCTGAACCTGGTGGCTTGCTTTCTCACTGCAATAAATGCAAACTACAAATAAAAAATAATAAATAAAAGAAGAAGAAGAAGAAGAAGAATTTCACTGTTAATGACATTTCAGATGAAGAAAGACACATGAGCAAAATGGAGAACTGAAGCATGATTTGTTATATTGGGATTTCAGGCTTTATTCAGTAGTCAGTAGGAAGCTGTTAGACCAAAAGCTGAGAAACCAGCGAAGATCATTGCAGTAATCCGAGAAAATATGAGAACTTGGTCTTCGGACAGTGGCAAGGAGGGGGCAGTTCAAGAGCAATTTCAGAGCTTACCTGGGAGAGGTGGGTGATGAACAAGAGGGAAAATCCAAACAATTCCAGTCTCAGTTGAAGGTGGGCAGATAGAGTGACAAAAGTAAAATGAATAGGAGATGAAAGCAGGGCAAACCATAACGCAAATTCACACCTAGAGAGTGGAAAGCTGAGATCCCCGCAGGAATTGGAAATATGCTGTCGATCTGATGGAGAAATCTGCTTGGAATGCCACCTTTCTCAGGAGCCTTTAATGCAATGCCTAGTGTGTGGGGTATGAGGTTGTGCCATAAACTGATACCATAAACTTTGCACGTTTTTGGCTTTTTGTTTGTTTCTTTCTTTCATGAGAGGAGAAAGAAAAATACAAATATCAACAGAGTCTCATGCCGCCATCCTGCCCTCAAGCCTTCCCAGTCAGACAGGATCATTGGCACACAAATGGGCTCTTAGAACCTGTCGATATGGAAAACCAAAGCCTGACCTTCCATATTGCTTCAAGCATCATGGAGCAGTGTACTAGCACTGCACACCACAGCTGGGTCATTCTGCTGCTTTTACTAGAACGATTTGGCAAATATGGAACTATCTGAATAAATCCACTCAAAGAAATTAGCTTTCTTATCTTCCATGACTCTTTAGTTGGGAACGATTTACGTGCAATGAAAACATGAAGGACCTAAAAATACAAATGAATCATGATGTTTTCATTCCAACAGGAGTGAAGGAACCATCAGTTTTTCTGCCATATTATTTGTGAGCCCCTTCTGATCTCCACTTGGCGTTCCAAGTCATCCACGTGAGGTCCAGCTAGATTTTGTATGGACATGCGAGGGTTGGATTTCAGTGTATAAACAGGGCAGATTACATGACGCTGGTTATTTGTAGCAACAAATGAAAGCAGCACCCCTGACTTGATAGAAGGCCAGCCTTTAATAGCTGAGAGCAGGGCGAGCAGATGCTGGAGGGGTTACAGCAGATAGGGTAGTGGTTACATCACTGGACTTCCACATGGCTGACTCCAGTTCAAGTCCCAGATCCAGTGACTTGAAACTTATTTCAGGACCCTGTGTGTGTGTGCCCAAGATCCCAGGAGAAGAATAGAGGAGAAGGGATTGTGGCATGGCCATCCCTCCAAGGGGTGATTTTTTACTTTCTCCCTCACTGTGTCTCTCGCACCCCTCCGACAAAAAAAAAAAAACCTCTACACACACACACACACACACACACACACAGCAGAGGGCAACTTCTCAGAACAGGGGTTCTCAAACTGGATTGTTAAACACTGGAGCGTTTAAACTTTCTCCCTGAATCCCCCATTATTTCTGAGTCACTATGTCTAGGATATGGGTCCAAGAATTTGTGTTTTTACTAAATTCTCTCAGAAGCTAATTTTGCTAGTCTGGGAACCACACAGAAAACTTAAAGACAAATACCAAAATCTCTTCGGTCAGCATAAGCCAACTGAAAAATATATCAATGTCCTGCGGACATTACTAAGGTGTCCACGAGAAGGGGGACAGCAGGGCCACTTATGTGACAGAGTTTTCTCATCAGAAAATGATATAAAAAAAATCTAACCTCCCTCGCGAATCTACCGTTTTAAAGTATGAAGTCTCCTCCTCTAAAGCGTGATAAATATTGCGTGACTGCAAAAGGACTCAGCTAAAGTAAATGTTTGATCCTCGCTTGCCCCTAGATTCCAGGGAGAGGGAGGAGGGCGTAAGCTAGGGGGCGCAGTTGCTTCACATTTTCCAGGCAAGCCCCGCGTTTGCTTTGGAGCGCAGGTGAAAAGAATGTGCACTCCTGCGTAGAACCACTCCAGGTATAGCAGCCAGTTCGCATCCACCCAGGGCTATGGAGTGCAGTAGCTACAGCGTGGAGCTGGGTCGGTTGGAAGCCAAGTCCTAAGAGTCTAAGAAAAGAAAGTTGAGGGATGAGGGCCACGGAGACCCATGGGTCCCTGAACTCCCACGGACGCCTTTAGGGTGCAGGGTGCCGGTAGGTGTGTGCAGTTCCCTGGGAGCTGCGATCGTGGTCGCGTCTCCGCTGTTGCCCTGGCCCTCCGGCTAACAAGGCGGCGACCGTGCGTGCGCGTTCCAGGTCTAAGCGGCGAATACCAGACTGCGGAGGGAACGAAAACGCCTGTAAACCGGACTGAGCGGCCAAATGGATCAATATTTGCGAGGGTTGCATCTATCTCATCCCTTCTCTCTCACGCTCACACACCCATGTCCCGAATCATGGGGGCGGGGGGCGGGGGGGCTTCTCCCTAAAGCACAACAGAAAAGCAGGCGCCCAAAGTTTTGCAGGACAGCAGGCGCGTAGCAAGCGTCCGCGCGCAGGCTGGCCTCCTGGATTTTCTGCTCCAATGCTCCGGGAATGGCGAGTCCGGTGCAGGGGAGGCGCGCCCGCGGTCCGGCCCACGTGACACGCCGGCCCAATGACCGAGGCTGGGCGGCCTCAGCGAGTGCGGCGGGCCCGGGGCAGCTCCGGGCAGCAGAGAGCTGCTCGCCTTTCCCGGCGCGGCTGCCCGAGGCCGGCGAAGCCATGGGCGCCGCGACCCGGATCCCGCTGCCGCCGCCCGGCCCCAGGTAGGCACCGCCGTCCGCCCCGCACGCCCAGCCCGCCGCGGGAGGGACAGGGCCTGCCCCCGCGCAACTTGGCTTTGGGGCAGGATTTCCCCGACTTCTCTCGAGGGTCATTTTTAGGTCTTGATTTCCGTGTACCCCGAAAAGGTTAAAAAAAATGGGGTGAGGCAGTTCTCACGTGCTTGGCTTTGGGGACAGTCACGCAAGACTAACCAGGCGCGGTGAAACCGGAGTGGGGTGGGGAAGGACTTGAACACGGTCTCCGAACTACACACCGAGGCGCTGCGAAGTTTGGCCTCTCTTCTCTGGTCTGAAAGAAACTTTGGCTGTGAAATCCCTAATGCATGAATTTGCAGCAGTGCCTGAGAACTCGAATTGGGGGGCGGAAAAAAAAAAAAAAAAGAG